GACTTAGTATTATGCACATGGACTTTTGGCCCCCTATTAATAATATGTATTGTATTTCTATCTTAACACTTTGTACTTACTTTGAACTGCATAAAGTGGAAAATATCTTTTTATCACTCAGTGCAAAACTAGTACTTGCCAAATGAATTAGTCCTATAGGTTCCCTTCTAGGTACAATTTATTGTGCAATGTTTAGTTTACGCTACAGTAAACCCTGAAAATTGGGTTATTTCCAAAAGTTGTAGGTAAGTTAACCAGGGGGAAATGTGATGTGTGTATACAGCCTCTTATCTTTTCACAGAAGACATGCCTCTACACATGAGTTCATCCCTGTGTCAATATTAATGATACTGCCCCAGCAGACTGTGACACCCATTTACTAATATTTATATAGTGAAAGATTAATTGCAGCCCATCTCACATCTACATTGTCATGAAAAGGATCATGTTGTGCCTGTCATTAATCATTACAGAGTAATGAAGCCATAACAAAATGTACACATATTTGTTTTTTAAGAGCCATTTCTCACATTAGAACAAATTTCTAAGCAGAAATGCTATGTCGTATGGTTACATAGAATCAAGCACACTCATTTTGAACTTAGTAGATATTATGTTAGGATGTAATGAGCATGTATACATTTTATTAATCCTATGATAGTGAGGTGCCTCTGTTCCAGAGTTTGGAATTTTTCTTCAAAACCTATCCTTGGGAGTTCTGAATTATTTTTTCTTGTTTCTGAAGTGGAGCTGATGTCCTGTCATTTGCTTATTCATGTCTAAATCTTACAAATCTCTACACAAATGCATAACATGCAACAGTTTATGTTACACAAGTTAATTTTCTTCTGTCCCTCCATCATGAACAGTATTACAGCAGGATATATAGATCAACCTACAAGGGGGCCACATCAATATTGCAGATGTTCATTCATTAGGCATTTTGTGCAATATCTGCATCATCCTGATAGTATAAAAAAGCTATTTGTCTGAAATGGTATCGGGTTACCTGCCTGAGCAGGGGATTGGACTTGATGACCTCCAAGGTCCCTTCCAACTTTATTACTATTATTATTATTATTATTATTATTATTATTATTATTGTTGTTGTTGTTGTTGTTGTTGTTGTTGTTGTTATTATTATTACTACTACTACTACTATTACTACTACTACTACTACTATTACTATTATTATTAAAGTCCTAATATTAATTATGCAATATCTAATTCTTTTTTAAAAGTAATGACTGAAAGGGCATTTCAAATCTTTAAATTCCATACTATTTGCTTCAAATGATGAGTGTGGGCTGACTAGTCTCTCTTCATTAGTCCCGCTCTCTTTTGCCCAGTTGTACCACTATTAAGATGCAATGACAAGGGACACAAAGTCACTCCTTTATTTTTTTTCTTCTGTCCATGTTTCCATCTTTGGACACATCAGGCAGAAGCCAATACCAGTATAGAAAATAAGTAATAGATATCTTTTGGGGTTCAGGAGGTGTTTTTTTTGCTGGGGTATGGGATTCATCAGATTTCTAGTCATACCTTGTCCAAATGCCAGTTTCAATCCTCCTTTCATTTACAAGAGTATGGTCATTCCATTTTTATCTTTATTTTGCAGGATCCAAATTATAATTTTTATTGAATGTGAAATAAGCAATTTTGACATACAGGAAGAATTCAAGGTGTCAGACAAAGGTTTCTTTGGTGGTTAAGAGCTACAAAAGGGAGGAGAGAGTGGGTTGGTGAATGAAAGTATAGGTTGAAATTGAATCTCCCATCTCAATGTTATTGGCACCAAAGCTTTACTTTGTCAGTGCTTTAAGCAAAGCATCCTTTCCAAGCAGCTTCATGAAGCAGTGCAGACCTTGCTTCTTCAAAGAGAAAGCAAAGTTGCATCACTGTTTCATTTTTCACTACTCCACAGTCTCCTCTGACACATTTTGTGCTCAGAAGAACCCTTCAAACTGGAGGGTTCATAGGAGCAATGAAAATTGCCTCAGCAAAATAATTAGTACTGTCCTCATTGCATGAAAGTTTCATAGTAACTTTCCTGCATGAGAGGCAGACAGTTTTCTTACAGGATCAAAAACAGCTATTGTATCAACTCACAATCTTCACCTGACATTCTTGTCTCTAAATGTCTGCAGTATTAAATGACCATAGCCGATACCAGAAAAGATGGATTGCCTATGTAAGAATCAATTTAATTTTTGCTTAAATAGAAAGGCATTATTTAGCTTTTTTTGTTCCTATGAACAAAACAATTTATTTCATAAGAAGAGGAAAACTGGTAACATATTTTATTCAGATTTTATTACTGAATAAAATAGTGTACAAAGAATGTCTATAATATCTGCAGGTATACTGTCCTTTTCCTTCTTTTTCATTTTCTTATCAACAAAGTTCATGTTCTGTATCCATCCAGTTTTAAATATTGTTCCCTTCCCCATTTCCAAGCTGGGGATCTTGCACTGGTGGGAATGGGAAAAAAAGTTTTTGTCTTGCTACCATTTGTGGTTAACCCATGCCCAAAACGGATGATCTGATGGGTGTAAAAATAAAAAATGGCCTCTTTATAGTGACAGCATTTTATTACTATACTTGTCTGCTATATGTTTAAGGAAACATGGGAGGGGAAAATTTGGGGTGGGTAAAGAAATTCTGGAGTTTTTCCCTACTGATTCTCATTCAGCTTGATGACATACAATTTGCATGAGATTATTCCAATTATGCCAACAATAATGGATTAAGAAGAAAGCTCTATGCAAATAAGAATATGTTGGTATGAGTTATCTTTGTCAGGGTTTAATATTATTGAAAGAAAGAAACGTGATCCTTCTCTGGTCATCTCTTCTTTGGAATGAACTTCCACAAGCAAAAGAAAGGATATGGTAACTCTGACCCTATTCAGCTTTCCTATCAATATCCAGTGAAAACAAGAGGGTGATCTCTTTTCCTTTAAGTCCAGCATGCCATATTTTCTGGATCAGCACTACATGTGTCTTTTAGATCATCAACACTGGCCACAGTGAACTGGAGATCAAATTCATCTGGATATATTAATTAATATTATATCAAACTAATTAAATGCAACTATTCTTTATGTCCCATGAATTTAATATATTCCCCTTCTGTCTCATTAAAATTTACAATTTGCTGGCAATTTTGAGAAAGGCTTTGAAAGCTACATTCAAGAATTGCTTCTTCACTCCCCACTTTGGAAGCCCTGAGTTATGTTCCAATCTAGCAAGCTTTCTCAACATATATTGCTTTCTGCTGTTGGGTTACCATATTTTCTCATAATATTAGAAAGTTTGGGAAAGTAATGTTCTACAGTTTTCTGAACCCATCGAACAAGTAGAATGCAAGGAATCTAGTCCTTAGTTCCAAAAATCCTTTGGGATAGAAAATGAAATAGCAGCATTAGAAGAAGAGAGTTCACTATGATGTTATTTTTTCCTAGTTCTGCTTCAAAGTTAGTTTCTAGACCTTTACAGATGCAATGTATGTGATGCTTTAAGAACAGCATGTTGCAAGTGTTTGCATTTCAGAGTCACAAATGGCAGTTTTTCTTACTGTTCACTTGGAAGACTTGATTCTTTTTGAGCCAACAGCAAGATGTTTGTACAAATTTTAATGGATTATTCTTGTAGAAACTTACTACAAAAATTATTATTTTTTAATCTTAAATTAAGGAGAAACTTAATTTGTGGTATTTTCCAGTATATCAGAAACAGTTATGGAAACAGGCTTCTAAGTGGTTAGAAATTGCACATAAGCAAAACATAACTCGATGATGGGCACTTTATAGATGGCACTGGAAAACTGCAAGTGACCTAGACTGATAAACCAAGCATGGCCTTTAGATTTTTAAATTATATACAATGTTTAAAATAAATTTAAAATTTAAGTATATTCAAGTTAAGAAAATAAAAATAAAAACATGCCTCATTATTACCATTTTTCTCCTGGAGACTAACTTTTGGCAAAAGAGCAAGGTCTCACACAAACATTTTTTACTCAGTAGACAGATTGCTTTTCCAGTTGGAATAGAGGTTGACAGCATTTCTAAGGGGGGGGGGTTATACTTGACCAGAGACAAAATTATAAAAGGAGCTTCCATGATTAGATTCATATAATTGCTTGATAAGATCCCATTGCTATCCCATTTGGTTATGCTCTTTTTTTTTCCTTGACCCAAATTTTGAATGCTGTGAATTTCCATGATACTCCATTGCTACTTTCATATCCACTCTCCATTGCTAACTCTTGCAAATGGAGATGTATCAAAATGCATCCTCAAGTTTGCAACAACCGTGCATGTTATGTCAAATCAGATAATATATGCTCTCTCTCTCTCATTCTCTGTCTATGTCTGTCTCTCTGTGTGTGTGTGTGTGTCTGTGTGTGTGTGTGTGTTTGTGTATGGAGTGTTTTTTTGATGCACCCTGTCGGTGCACCCTAATATGGGAAGAAAAAATCTTTTGCCTGTCCCTTCTAACTGTTAGCAATATATCTATATCTATATCTATATCTATCTATCTATCTATCTATCTATCTATCTATCTATCTATCTATCTTAAAAATAAAGGTAAAAATGTGACTCTTGGGAATATCCATACTATTAAAACAGTGATCACCAAGAGAATGCTTTAAGAGAATAAAATTTAATTAATCAACCAAGCTTTCGTCAAAATACACTTGACATCTGCAGATGCTTGATAACGGGACGCTTGATAACGGTAATAAGTCTACTCCCTATACTTGCCTTTTAACCCTGACGATGTCAAGTGTATTTTGACGAAAGCTTGGTTGATTAATTAAATTTTATTCTCTTAAAGCATTCTCTTGGTGATCACTGTTTTAATAGTATATATATATATATATATATATATATATATATCTGTAAATTATTGTGGACTTGGTTTTATTTCAATTTCTTTTAATTTATGAAAGAAACTAATTCTGATTTCTTCCTTTTTCAAAACACTCTGAAGGAAACTAGCCAAAAAGCAAAAAGAGACCCAAAGCAGCAGTCAACGAGAAATGGGGCCTGTTGCTGCTTCAGACAAGACTGCTACAAAAAGTGCCACTCATAATGAAGACACTTTCACTTCAGGCTGCCAAGATATTAATGGATTCAGTAAGTTTCACTTCTCAGGATGATTTTCATAATTAATTGACTTGCATCCCACTGAAGCAAACAGACAAAAAGTTAAAGGTATAAAGTTAAGGATTAAGGAAAAAAACCCTCAATATTATTTCAGTCCTGCTCTAATTCTTAGAAACAGGAAGAGGCCTCTTTCACTTTTGTAATCCCAATTCAAAGCAGATACTGACAAATTTCAATGTCAGCCCATTTGGTTTAGTGGTTGAGATACCAAGCTAGGAGACTGAGAGTTCTATCCCACCTTAGACATGAAAGCTGACTGGATGGTTTTTGGTGAATTATTCTCTCCCTCAATCCAACCTGCTCACAGGCTGGTTGTGGGGAAAATAGTAAGAGGGAGGAGTATTAGGTATGTTCACCCCTTGACTTAGTTATAGAAATAATAATGGTGGGATATAAATAAATAAAAATACCTGAAATCCCCAGATCCTTTTATAGGTGTCCCAAGAACTTTCTTTTTTCACTTTTTGTCAAAAGCCAGTGCAGTGTATTCCTACATTTTGAAACTAGAAACATAAACAAACCTATATGTCCTAATTATGCTTAACACATTTAATAACAGAAGGAAAAACCAAACGTATAGCCCTGATTCAAGAGCAAACTGAAAAAATATTTTGCATAGAAAAGACTAGACAGCTACCTGTCTAAAATGGTATAGGGTCTCCTGCTTGAGACTAGAAGACCTCCAAGGTCCCTTCCAGCTCTATTCTGATCACACTGTCTAGTACAAAGACTTCTCCATTATCATATAAGAAATGTGCTTAGCTTGAGGATTCTGAACTGGATCCACTTTGTAAGTATAGTCTATAGTCTCCATCCTGAAAGTACAATGATCCTATAGCTCTTTCAACAATTATGGATAGCTGTGCATCTAGTGAAAAGAGTAACAGCAGTTTCACACTGAATGCTATATGGCAAAAGCCAACATTGCCAAATAAGCTGTTGCTTCTTACATCAAAACTGTGAAGAAAATAAAAATTCGTTTTTGTTTTTTTTAAGACATTTTATTGGTTTTTTTAACATTCTTAAACAAAAAGTATTCAAGACCCACCGTAATGGTTAGGTGGTCAAACATTCAAAAGTGAAAACAACACAACTCAATAAATTTCACTATCCCCTCTCTATTCCCCTCAGTTAACATAATATATTTAAATATTCCATTTCTATTTTAAATTTCTATCACTATTAAACCTGTGTTATAACTTTATCTGTTTACAAATACAATAGTTTAAATTTAAATCAACAAATTATCAATTCTAATTCTTAATCTCTCACATCCCTCATTTTATACCACTCATTTATTTCTTCTTCCACTATACAATAGATATCTTAATAGAAATAAAATATTGATCAGCCCTATATATATGTAATCCCAAAGTCAATCCATCTCTTTAAAATAACAAAATAATACTAAACCTTGATTCATTCATATTCATTAAACAAAGTTCAAATTTTCTCCAGCTTATCATGCCTTATCATGTCTTTATTGAAATACAAGAAATCTATCCTAGTAATTTAAAACATTCCATAAATTATTAAAAGCATCCCAATCTAAGCAGTCATCATTTTTGCAACTCCAGTAAATAATAAATTTCATATATTTCCCAAATGCTACATAGGTACAATCCAATACGTTCTTAATCTATTTAAAATATCTACTCTAATAATCATGCTCCTATATGTATATATATTTAGTTGCTTATAACTTTGAATTTTAGTCTGTAAAACAATCCATAAATCCAGTATTGCCTTTTATTTCATTACACAATTTTAAATTTCTCTTTTAAGTCTAATTCTAGGTTTTTTCCTGTACCAAGTAGGTTTCCATAAACATGCTTCCCTTTCAATCAATAAGTCTATTTTTGTTGCTTGGAATGGCCTTTGAAGAAATAAAAGTCCCATCCTCTGCATCAGACATCTGTTTTTCTCCTCTTTAAAATATTGTTGCTTTATAATTTCAAATCTCAGTCCTTGCTTCTTCTGTTCCTCAAAGTTACAGATGAAAGGCTTGTAAGGTAAAATAAACTCCTCTTTTATCTCAGTTGGTTCCTCTTCTAATGTAATTTGGTTTGTAGAATAGTCAAGTGTAGTCTGGTCATCCATTTGCATGTTTGAAGTGAAGTTTCTAGATCTTAGTTCTGAAGTGGATTTTTCAGTATAGTACAAATTTCTGTAGTGGCCTCATGTATCTTTTCCAATATAAGCTTATAATTTAATTGTGAATGCAAATTCTCCATTTTGATAGTAGTTAGTAATAGTTTTTTGTTTTATTTATTTGTTTTGTTTGTGGAAGCTGTATTTGGTAAGAGTTAATCTATATCCATCCCCACAATTCCCACAGCCCAGTTTATCTTTTTCAAAAAAAAATGAAGATCAGATCTGGTTTTACTTCAAAGAAATAACAAAAATATGCAATATTAAATTTTCACCACTAGATGTCCTCAGTAAGTTAATGTTTAGATGTTCTTGACTTGCGGTCTGAAGCAGCAGAGTGATCGGCCATTTTACTGGTCGATCTTCTCTGTCAGCCCTCAGAGATCGATCGGACAGCTGGAGGAGCCGCCGCACCTCCCCAACCGAACCAAAGCCTCTTCAACGGAAGTAGCACCCTCCAGGGCGACTTTCGACCCGTATAAGAGTCAACCGGCAGAGGGAAGGCTAGCCGTTGAGGAGACGAGTCTCCCTGTATGGCTAGAGTTGCCGCGAACTGGAACCGGAAGTAGAAAACAAAAATTCCTGAATTGACAAGCTGAGGAGTCCACCCACAGATTACATTTTTTTCTCTGTGGAAAAAATTATTATCAGAAATGGACAGCTAACAAAAAGCATAGAAAACAGAACTTTTTAATTGTCTATGCTGCCTCCATTACTCAGTTTTAGTTTCTGAAATCTCATCATAATCCATAGCTTTTAAAACCATGTGGAACAGGTGAATAGAAATGTGCACTGTAGCATGCAAAACTATGAAATCAGGAGTTAGTGTAAAATCCCCCCTGTGATTACAAATTGCACACACTTTCACATAATGCTGCTTTCTGTTGAATTGGTCCTTGATTCAGATATGTAGAACAATAAACAGTATTAGCTAGCATTTGTGCACTGAGAGTCATAATTACTAAGGAGATGCAATGATGGATTTTCCTCTTCTTCTTTATCATCTTCCACTGTGATGATCAAAAACATTCTAAACAAATGAATACTACCCCACTTTAAAAGGGAGATGTCACTCCTGCTTCTGTGTCAAATTCCTCTCTCAGAGAAAAGAAAATAATTAATTATATTACTGGTTTGCTAACTTCAAGCAACAGGTTTTGTTAATGATGCTTTAGAAACTTTCTTTCCCTTTCTCCTCTTTTCAACCCTATGAAAGTTAGAAAACAAACAAGCAAACAAAGTTAACTCTGGTGAAACTGTGTAGGAGCAAGCTACCAAGGACAATACCATTTAGATAGAGAGTTATACATGGATTTAAGGGTTCAGATAAATTTGGAATATTGATTTACTATAAATTAGAATTGACTGTAAAAATAAACAGCTTCTCATGGGAATCAGGTAGATTCTGGCTTGGGAACTGCAAATTAAAACAAAAGATAAGTGATGGTTTTAGAAATTGGACTCTGGAGGCGAGTAAAGATTTACAAGCATTGTGTCAGTTAATACTGGAACTTATAGAGTGTTACAAAACATAACATTGGGAATATTAAAGGAAATCTTTGAAGAATGGAATCAGAAGTTAGTAAATATAATATCAACCCTGTCAGTATTATGTCTGCTTCTATGGATAGATTATGTCTAAACATTTTTAATGAAAGAAAAACAGATGTAGAATAAATTTTATCTGTCAAGATAGAGAAAATATAGAGTGTGGAAATACAAATAACAAGTCAAGAGAATGATTTGTAAAAGGACGCTTTACCTGATATATAAAAAAAGCTAGGTGAAGTTTTAAAAATTAAAAGGGAAATACAAACAATAAACCAAGAGAACGACCTGGGAAATGTTTTCATATTAGATCTCCAAAAAGGTTTGTTAAAGCCGTGAAGAAATCTGTGTGATAGCATAAAGAAGAATTGAAATCAAATCATATATAAATATTTTATTGAATTAAAAAGTGAGTCTGTTAGAAGTAAAAGGAAGGAATATAACTTGGTTTAATAGATCAATGTTACACAAAGACTTTTAAAAAATGTTCTGGCAGCCCTTTAGGAACTTTTAGCTGACAACAGGATTGAACAGTTCATGTTTTATGGATTTGCTTATAAATACGGGATGGGACATAGGATGAAAAGATATCTGTTTAACCTTATACTGTGAAGAGTTTGGGTAGGCTTGTTGTGCTAAAGGTAGGAAATAACTTCTTTATATATTGCTTTTCTTTTTCTTTCTTTTTCTTTTTTTCTGCACTATTTGTTCTTTCCATTCTCTTCTCCTTCTCGGCTTAGTTTGCGTTAGTTTTTACTATTGTAATTAATTTTTTTTAATAATATATTAAAACAGAACATCAGAAGGAAATAGCTTTTCATAGGTAGATACAACCTTCCCCGTTTTTTTTCTGTTATTGTTGTACTGAGAAGAAACTGGCTTAGACCATTTTATTTTCCTCTTGATGACAATGAAGAGAAATTCAAGCTTTAAATTACAATTCATAGAACTCAGTATCTTCAATGTTTCATTGATTCTGATTTTTTTTAAAAAAATCACTGTACGCCTAGATGAGGAATGATCAGGTTGAAGATAAAACAGAACTGAGAAATAAGAGAAAAACTGTACAAATGTTTTTATAGCAATTTTATCTACAAGTATAGCTAACATATCTTTAGGTAGCCATAAATTTATGGTAAGAAAAAAAATCACATAAGTATCTGGAATATGTTGAATATGAGTTTGTCCTCTAGTGTTCCATGAAGAGACTGTGATTATCAAGTGCCTTAGAGAACAAATGGATACTGGTATTACATCCATAAAGAGAACTG